ATGCCGGATGGAACTCCCGTTCATTTAGCCTGAGTCCAAAGCGAGGACTTAAAGGTGTGTTCCATTCATGATTATTTGGGGTGTAATCTAACAGGTTCATATTTCAAATACAATGTGTAGCAGTGTTTAAATACTAATAAAAATACTAGCACTAAAAGAATTGATTTCGTAATTTCCACTGTGACCATTTATTGAGTCAATGTAGTTACTAAAGATTATATTATCTTACGAAATCATGGTACCTCTGTATGCCCTAACACTTTCTTAAAAATTAACTTACATTTATAAATATGGTAATATGACTCTACTATTGGTGCTAGCCCACTGATGACAGTAGATATTTTACTGGTAATAACCACGCCATTTTGAAGGATATAATGACAGTATTAAAGATTAGGAATCGTAACTGTGTTTCACAATTAACATAAATTATATTAATGTTTGTTTGTTTTAGTGCAAAGCTACACAATAGGATATTTATGCTTTGTTCACCATGGGGAATCGAACCCCGGATTTTAGACCCGTAAACTTACCTCTAATCCATTGGGAGACATTATCTTAATGATGACTGCTGGTGAATTTTCCTGTTTAGTTGTAAATCTAAGCGTTTCTTTAGTTTACTTTTATTTCCACAATACTTGAAAACTCGCTGACTGATTACAAAACTAAGTCTTTATTCATCGAGCATCGAAGCAAGCGTATGATTTCCTAATTTTTAAGCATGCAACCTTAACAAGAAAACTCATTCGGTTCATTATAATTCTCTCATATTATTCAACAAAGAGATTATTAGAATAATATTATTTCATAGGGCAAATTTAATTTTAATTTTTATTCTTCCTTACATAAAAAAGCCGAAAGCTCACGTTTTTCAAATGATTAATTTAACTGTTTTCATGGGACCCTTGCATAATAACGCTCATTGACTTTGAGTTTTTCTTGGACAAAGTTATAGACTTTAAGATGGTATAAAGCTAAAAGCCTGTCGTTGATGCGTACTCATGAAGATCAAGAGTCATTTTCCTAATTATACAGGCTTGTGCTGACAGGTAGTTGTCGTCAGCTTCATATATCTTTAACAGGATGTTTAAGTATAACAGAAGTTATTTATATGAGTGCCAAAAATGTTTTCTTTTTTTATGAGTTAATAGTTTCAAAGTCAGCCACTAGGTTCCTAACCCATATTCACACAACGCTGCTTTCATTTGGCATGGTATCTTATCGTATCACATGCTATTGAACTAATGCAACTTTTCGTCAATGAAGATACTAACATATATTTAGGATTACGTATAAATATAGTTCTCTGTTTTCAAATATCTCATAAACCTTTATAAGTATATTCCAAAGGCACTCAAAACGTCTTGGTGTTTTGTAGAACTGTCTGACATTTTTTTAAATTTCTCTTCCAGATCACCTTCAAAGTCTGGACAATAGAAGATCTGATGAACACACCGGAGTCTCGGTAGCGCAGATTCAGATCTGAAGGATCTGCCCGTCTTGATACTGTTCAGTTTTGATCATTGTCTGATCCAGAATAAAATGCTTTTATTTATATGTCGAACAAAAGGGCACTTTGTAGGCAGAGTGTTCCGATCTTTAATGGGCGTTACTCAACAATCTGAGGATAATTTGAAATTTGAATTAAAATGCTTTTTATTTATATATCATTGGATTGGGTTGTTTCTATTCCTCGTATATTTAGTTAGTTAATTGTTTTGTGGTTATGGTACGGATGCATGTGTTATTGATATAAACATTCAAGTAATTTTATTTGTGAATATTTCAAGTGACTATTAATTTAAATATATTGGAATACACAGTTGAAATTCACTAATGTCACCTGATAGTATTATTATCTTAGAAACTAGACGATCATTACAATAATGGGAGTATTTTGTCAGTTTATTGACGGAATTTGTGACCACTTTATTAAAAATAATTTACGTCTTTCTTTGTAGATAACATCTTACAATTTCCGCTTGGTAAGTACACTACAGTAATCCATCAAGCTGCTAGCTTACCTTACTAAAAGAATAACAGTATACTTTAAAGTTGGTGTGGTGACTTGAATTTAAGGCTGTATGACCTGTAATGTATTACGATGCTACTATAGCATGCGGTCGACACAGATATTTACACTATAGCGTGCTGTCTACACAGATATTTACACTATAGCGTGCTGTCTACACAGATATTTACACTATAGCGTGCTGTCTACACAGATATTTACACTATAGCGTGCTGTCTACACAAATATTTACACTATAGCGTGCTGCCTACACAGATATTTACACTATATCGTGCTGTCTACACAGATAATTACACCATAGCGTGCGGTCTACACAAATATTTACACTATAGCTTGCTGTCTACACAGATATTTACACTATAGCGTGTTGCCTACACAGATATTTACACTATAGCGTGCGGCCTACACAGATATTTACACTATAATTTGCGGTCT